AGCTGACCCCGAGCTCAACAGGGGGCTAGCAGACCCTTCAGCCCCTGAGAGGACAGGAAGCTCAAGCTCACTGCCCTTGGCCTGATGGGAGCTGTCTGGGGACAGGCAATGCTGGGGGCAACTGGAGGCATGCCCAGCCCCTCTCTGCCACTCCCACAGAATGCTACCTGCCCCCTCCAGCCTGCCCAGGCCCTCCACCCTCCCCAACCTCACTCCTTCCCCAGCCCCAACCAGACCCTGAAGTCTGATAGCCGACCCCTTAGCTTCCACCTCAGAGGGGTTGGGTCAGCCTAGCCCACTGCTCTCCCACTCTGGGGCCCGGGCCCGGCAGCCTCTTCCACCTTTCTGCCCCACTCTCCTGATTGAGGCGAAATGGGTGTCTGTCTCGTGCCAGGCCTAGGTGCCACAGCCACCCGGGTGTCCGCTGCAGTGGCCACCCTGGGAGACCCTGGCAGGCTGGAATGGAAGTGACCTGAGCCCGGGCCCAGGCGCCATCCCTGCAAACCTGGGCCGGGAGCCAGAGTCGGTGCTGGTAGCCTGGACGGCCCCTAGCGGAAGACAGCAGGCTGGGTCAAGTAGAGCAGGGGTTCTCAACCTGTGGGTCGAGACTCCTTTGGGGGTCAAACGACCCTTTCACAGGGGTCACCTGATTCACAATTAGCAAAATTACAGTGATGAAATAGCAATGAAATAATTTTATGGTTGGGGGTCACCGCAACACGAGGAACTGTATTAAAGGGTCGCAGCATGAGGAAAGTTGAGAACCACTGCTCTAGCGAAAGACGAGGCTCTCTACTCCCATGAAGAATGGTAGTCTCAGAAACCCACAGGGAGGGACGGGTTACCCTGTCCCACACGGTCGCCAGAGTCGGCTTCGACCCGCGAACATTGGTTTTCTTGCTTGCTTTCTGTCCTGGAGTCAGAAGGGAAATAAATATAATGTCAGGGAGTGACCAGCCCCTGCCCAGCACCAGCCTTCTGGAAGGCAGTGGGCGGGACAGGGTGGTAAATCTGCCAGCAGGCAGCCCATCCGAGGAGTGTGGGGAGGGGATAGGAACACTCCTCAGAGGGGCCTGCACCAGGCAAGCTGAGGGGGACCAGGCCATGAGCAGGGGACACTCGGAGGTGCACAACCACCCCCTTTCCCCTGCCACTGCCACCACTGGCTGGGCTGAGACCAGGCCCCTGGGTCCCCAGCATGTCCCCCCTGCACCCTGCCTTTCGTAAATAAGTTTGTCTAACGTTCAGCCTGACCACAGGCCCTGAGGCCAGGCGCCCGGCTCACAGGCGGCCTTTGTGCGGTGTGAAGGGCCCTTTCAGGCCGGCCCTGGCCTCCCGCCCCGCCAACCTGGTCGGCCCCCAGCCCAGGAGCTGCGGCCACTGACAACTGGCAGGGAGGTCACAGGCCCGGCCTGGGACTCAGGTCTCAGGCCTCTCTGTCCCTGCTGTCTGTCACCGCTAACCCTCCCCCCCACCACCACCACCATCACCACACACACACTCTTTATTTGCCTTCTCTGCTGAGCTGAGGGCAGGGTCTTGGGGACCACCAAGCACACCAAGGAGCTGACTGGAGTCTTGGTGGATGAGGAGGGGCAGGGTCCGGGCGCCCTGCCCACCAGGGCCTGCCCGCCCCTGGGAGGACACACGGAGGGAGCAGTGAGGTGAGGCCGGGTGAAGCTGGCACCAGGTGTCCCCAGAGCATTCCTGTAGACACCCAGCCCGTCCACCATGCTGGCCTCCGACTGATCCCACCAGCCTGGGTGGGCAGAGCTGACTGCAGGGGGCAGGGCAGGCAGAGCAGGGTGGGATGACAGCAGCCAGCACCCCTGCTTCACAGCCCAGCCATGATGACGCCACCAGACCCCGGAGGCCTGGGCCCCATTCCTGGGTTGGGGCACCAGCCGGGACCTCTCAGCCTGTGGGCCAAGGTGGCTCAGTTCCTACCTGTTCAGCTGTGAGGTGTCGCCTACACAGAGAGGCCAAGGGACAGCAGGGGGGACAAGCCAGGAGGCGACCAATCGGCCTAAAGCTGTTCTGGGACCAGTCCAGGCCAGCCTCCAGGGCCCCCACAGCTCACTGCATTTTGTCCTCACAAACACCACGGTCTGCCTCCCAAAGCCAGGCTGCAGGCTCCCCTGCAGAGCCCTTGCCCCTGCCCACCAGGAGCAGGACGCCCTGACCCCCTGCCCCCACTTTTACATCCGAGTAGACCCCACTGCCATGCCGGTGGCCTCTGGACCCAGGAGCCGCTGCCCGGAGCCTGCCGTGTCCCCTTTAGGTCAGACCTTCACCCAGAGTCCTCACTGAACACTGGGACAGTCAGGACAGGGCTTCGAGTTTGGGGGTTGTCAGCACAGACGCTGGGCCTCCAGCCCCTCGGCCCCTTGCCCGGTGCCTGCTGCCCCTCCTGACCCTTCAATTTTAGGTAGCTAGAATAAGCCCCATGGCTCTCTCCAAGTGCTAAACATCCTAGACTCTGCTACCAAGTCACCCCAACCTCAGAGGCCACCATCCCAGTCCCCGACTATTCCCTGAGACAGCCTATGCAGCTGCTGCTGGCCTGCCCCAGGGCCAGTTTGCTGAGTCCCCAGAGCCACCCCTGCCCTGAGATGCCCCAGGCTGGCTAGGCCCAAACGACATCACAGCCCTCACCTGTGAGCACAGCGGGGGCCAGGACCCCCCAGAGGAGCAGCAGCAGTAGGCGAAGGGCTGGACGGGACTCCATGGTGCTGGGGAGCGCCGGCCAGTGGGCTGCACGGAGGACGGAGCTGGTTTTAACGTGGGGCAGAGGGAAGGAGGCATCAGAGGGTTGGGGCGGGCTTTCATCAATGCCAACCCTGTCCTCCTGGGACAGTGTGCCCGCCCACACCCGTGCGAGCGGGTGCACACACACACACACATACACATACACACAGCAGACCGTTAGGCTCAGCCCTGCCCTGTGAGGGGAGAGAGGAAATCACCCCTCCTCTTGCTTACTCACACAGTCACACACGTATTCACACACTCACACACAGACCCACTTCACTCACACACGTACCACAGTGACACACACACGTGACAGTCACTTTCTCACCACACACAGCCACACACACACCTGCACTTGCGTACATGAACCACACACCCTCACCCAAACACCAGCCACACTCTCACCTTCACTCGCACACTCTTACACACACACACCACAGTCACCCAAACACACCAGTCACACACACTGACGTTCAGTCTCACACAGACGCCTTTGTCTCACAGCCGCTGGTGGCTTTGAACTGCTGACCTTGCAGTGAGCAGCCCGATGCATAACTAAGCCACCAGGCCCCGAGTGTCCACAGATACTAGGATTTGCACAGGCCTTACATTTACAGGCTGATGGATTTGGGGGCCAAGCACCACCGACACTGAGGGGGGACATTTCCGGCACACTGGCAAGATCCCCGGGGCTTCCCCATCATCAGGACCACTCTCTGATCCCGTAGCCCATTGCCGAGCTTCAAACCGATCCCACGGAATCGTCCAGTATGGCTTTGTACGCGCCAAATCCTATGAGACGGCTTCATATCGTTGCATGCGCAGTTCTTTTTTTCCTGAATAAAAATAATCCCTGCTCGTCCATTCTCTTGGTGACGGATGGCTGGGTGTCTCCCGGATCGCAACTGTGAAGAACCCAGCTTCTACGCATATCCTCGGCCGTGTCTTTTGGTGAACCTCTGCTCTGCTTGCTGATAAGCCTCAAGGCAGAATTGCCGAGACAGAAGGTTGGCGGGGTGACCCCGTAGAGTCTGTCCCACCGGCAGACCTGTCCCGTCGGGTTTTCCATCTTGACCAGATCACCTCGTCTTTCTCCTGAGGACCCCTGGGTGGGTCCAGACGTCCAGCTTTTCGGGGGAGCCCTGGTGGCCTAGCCAGGGGGTTACACGTCGGGTCGCAGCCCCCAAGGTGAGCAGTTTGAAACCACCAGCCTCTCCTCCCAGAGAGTGACAGCCTCGGAAACCCACAGGGGTGGTTCCACGCTGTCCTATAGGGTCGCCGTGAGTCGGCGTCGGCTCGACATCAGCGAGTCTGGCTTTAACTGTCGCACCGGCCCAGCGGCGCTCCTTCAGGTCAGAAGTCAAGGGCGCGTCTTGCTTTTCCAAGGGGTTCCCAAGGCTGCTTCTCCTCAGCACGAGGGGCCCTCCCCTTGTTCCCGACCCGCCAGTACCCTCGCTGATACCTGGCAGCGTCAGATTTCTTATTTTTAGTCATTCTCCTTGGGTATGTAGAGGCGTCTCCTTGGGGTTTTAATTTGCGTTTCCATGGCGAGGTGATGTTGTTATGAGCGGCGCGATCAATAATTACTTAACGCTCTTAGACATTTTCGAATGCTCGGTTTATTCACTGCAAACACACATCAAACAATCTGAGATATTACTCAAACTACTAAGGGCAAACACCTATAAGCACAAGGGCAGAGTAACAACACTCCTCACACATTTCCTACTAGCACCATAGTCCCAATCAGCATTGCCCATCGGTGCTCACCCGGGTAGAGTTAGAGAGAGCAGGAGCTGATGTCTCCTTGGTTCCTAGCTCTCTCAAGGTCAGCGTCTCTACCCGGGTTTAAATGGACAGTTTGGCTGGCTCTTTGACGTCCTCACTGTCCCAGTCAAGTCTTATCGGGTCTCTCCACGCTTTAGGGGACGTCGGTCAGGCCTCAGCCCAGTCTTATCAGGGGTCTCACGTTTTTGTGGTGGCTTCTTTGATGTAAGTGTTGGCCTGGGCCCCCATATTACATTTTATTTTTCTTTAAAGTGGAGTTTCTTGTGCTTGTTTCGTTGATGTGGCTCAACGTCTTGCAAGGTAGTTCGATGTCTTGCAAGGTGTTCAACGTCTTACAAGGTAGTTCGACGTCTTGCAAGGAAGTTTTATGGTGCTCTCATCAGATGTCTTGAGCACCACTTCATATTTATTGACTACAGAATATTCTATTTTATATGGAGTCTAGTGCCCTGGTGGTGTAGTACTTACCAGTTGGGCTGCTAACCCTAAGGCCAACAGTTTAAAACCACCAGCCGCTCCGTGAGAGAAAGACGAGGCTTTCTACTTCCGTAAGGAATTACAGTCTCAGAAACCCACAGGGGCAGTTCTACCCTGTCCTAGAGGGTCCACTGAGTCAACTTCTATTAGATAGCAGTGAGACTGGGGGGTTCTGGAGGTGGGATGGTTTTTGTATATATTTGTTAGGGCGGCCTTTGGAAAAATGTATTCATATGAGTCGTTTGTACACTCCAGAGAAAAATCCGATGGGTATATTGCCAAAAGAATTGTCTGTGGTTTTTTCTTTCTTTCTTTTTCTCCTCTTTCACTGCTTGTTTTAACCGTTATCATAGGATTGGGGCTGTCATGGTCGTTACCTTCGTACTAACGTTCGTGCCTTTCGATGAATGGCGTATTTGGTTTTGGTCTGCCCTGTGGCTCAAATGCCAGGCAAGCATTTTGTGCTTCCAGCGCCAATACATTTCCAGGACCTAGCAGCTGGGGGTGCTGTGGATCAGGCATTAGGCAGCAAGCTACTAGGTTGGTGGTTCAAATCCACTAGCTGCTTCTTGACAGAGTGTCCGGCAGCTTTGGGTGGGTCTGAGGCAGAGTGGACCCCATAGCAGGGGCTTGGTAAACATTTGAATTCAGTCACAGTGGTGGGGGGGGGGTGACCATTGGGCATTTCCTCACTTGATCGCTGATCACTAGCTCGCTTGGGCCCCTTCCCCCGTTCCTGTGCCCAAAATTGCAACCCAGCAATACAAAACTGACCTAGACCCCATATGATACACTCCGAGATGGCCTTCTAGCCGGTGGGTGACCTTCCTGCTAAGATCCGCCAGTTGGCAGCACTGACGTGCTGGAAGGTGGGAAGAGAGTGACCCTCTCTGGGCTTCACTGTTGAGTAGAGGCGGCACTGGCCACCCGACATCTGTGACAGAGATCCCAGTGGAGTGGCCTCCGGGGTGGCCACAGGAGCCCAGAAACGCACACTGCTGCATCCTGGGGGGGCTCAACACCAGCGCCGTCCAGCGCCCAGGGCGGGGTGACCTCTCTGCTCCTCAGCACAGAGCGGTGTCAGTCTCCTAGACAGTGACTCGGGGGTGAGAAATCGTTATCTTCCCTGTTACACTGTAATCCTTTCAACAAATCCCTGTATTAAATCTCTTCTGTGTGAAATACCTGGAGTGGTCCCTGTCTCATCAGACGACTGGCCGGTGCGGTGGGTGCGTGGAGCCGGGAAGCATCAGAGGGAACAGCCCCTCAGAGCCACGTTTCTGGGCTTGCTTCGCCACCTGGAGTGTGGATGGGCAGGCAGCTTCACGGTCAGAGAACGAGATGCGGGCAATAGAGGGCTCGCAGGAAGGCTTGCAGCTGTTTGGCATGAATGCCTATCTGAGCCAAAGCCCAAAGGCAGTTCTCGGTAGCAATGATAGCAAAAAGGACAGGAAGAGGAACTAGTTTTTTACCGCTTTGGATATTCGCGGAATACGACGAGCTCAGGGGGTTAAATGTTTAGGTGAAGGTGTGATGGAAATAAATGTCTTGTGGATACAGGGAAATCTGCCTCTGAACTGGGTTTAGCTATTGAGACTACTGTTCACAGTATTCATAAAGGCAGAGCTTTTTAAACGTGACCTTTTGTCACCGAAGGAGCGCTAGTGGCACCGTGGTTAAGTGCTCGTGGTTAAGTGCTCGGCTGGTTACCAAAGGGTAGGTCAGTCTGAACCCACCAACTGCCCTGCAGGAGAGCGACGGGGGCAGTCCGTTTTCACGAAGATGATCGTTATGGAAGCAGCAGGGGGCAACTCAACCCTGTCCACAGGGACGATGAGTCCGGATCAGGCTCACAGCAGTGGGTTTGTGTGGCCAAAGGGGTTCCTGGTGTCCCAAAGGGCCTGCAGTTGATCTAAAGTTTGGCAGTTGGAAACACCCAGTGGCATCTATGAAGCAAGGTCTGGCCATCTGCTTGTGGTCATCCAAGAAACCCCCACGGCGCTGCTATGCTCCAGGGGCCGGCACCAAGCTGATGGCGAGGGCGTGGTCTTACGCTACCAACGCACACACGGACAATGATGGAAGACATAACATTGAAGGCACTTTCCAAAGGTGGGGTGAATACAATTGGGAAAACTGTTGAAGTTGGCTAGTAACAGGGGTGTGTGTGTGTGTGTGTGTGTGTGTGTGTGTGTGTGTGTGTGTGTGTTACACTGCTCTACTTAAAGGTATGTTTGAAATTTGGCATTACAGCAAAACCAAAGAAAACAAACCGGAGGCCATTGCTGTTAGCTGCCATCAAGTGGACTCCGACTCACAGAGAGCCAAGTGCTCCCCGGCCTTCTTCCACGGTGCCTCTGGGTAGGTTAGAATCGCCAACCTGCCTTTCACCATGCTAGCCTTGGCCTGATAACCTTCCATTTCACCGAATCATCTTATTTGAGTGGTCATCTTTGTCCTCGGATCCGCCACCAACCCTACTGCTGACCTCTCCTCTCCCTGCAGAATTCAGAGAAGAAAACAGCTCGATGCCAAAGCTGACCTCCCACTCCTGGTCTGAGCCACATGCCGGTGTGGCTGTGAAACTTCCTCATCCTGGCACCCGTGGCCAGCAGTGCAGGGGGGAGTAGCAAGCTGACGAGCCGAGGTCACAGGGCAGTGGTGACAGTGGCCCACCCCTTCCCCTCCCCTCAGGTGTGCTCATTGCTGCTC